TTTAATTTAAGGATGTTTACTTTGTATATTTTGACATATTACATTGACTATTTGTATTTTACCAGTGTATATAAAGCTTTAACTTTTTGAATCTGAGCAACTACTGTCATAATTATTGATTGCCCCCCCCCCTTGTCTTATTTCCCACAACTGTGAAAATTTAAATGGATTAAAATTAGGAAAAAATGCTTAAAAATAAACATTGATATTATCCATTGAAATGGTTGGAAAAAATAACAATTGAATTCTTCCACGTAGATCTGTAGATTGTGACTGACTTGTCTGGCAAAGGTGGCTCATAGTTGTCTTTTGAGCTTTTTCTCCTTTTCTGATCTGGACTGCAGGTGTGGGCTGCTACAAGTCGGAGACAGAGTCCTTTCCATCAATGGCATCGCAACTGAAGATGGGACCATGGAGGAAGCCAATCAGCTCTTGCGCGATGCAGCACTTACCAACAAAGTTGTGCTGGAGTTAGAATTTGACGTGGCAGGTATGTAACCAAGGCATTCACCTTTCTCACAGCATCCCCCAAAAGGCTCTGGTAGTTCTTTATTAGCCCTAATATAGGGAAAGCCTCCTCCATAAACGTTCTATAACTTTGGTAAGAGTCACTGATTGATGTGAGCTAGCAATGGAGACATATGTGTTATCCCTGTCTAAATCTTGTTTTATCCAGAAACCACTTCTCTTAGTGGGCATGCATGCTTAATAAGTGAAGAGGTAAGCTTTTTTTTTTCCAGATATTTTATGAATGTATGGACTTAAGAGAGTGAGGGGACTAATGGCAATGGCTGGTGCCAACATGTGATTACTCAGAGTGAGTGAGTGAGTGTGTGTGTGTATGTGTGTGTGTTGGCAGAGTTGCCTCTGAATCCTGCACCTCCTGATTATTCTCTCTGTACTGATATAGTACACACAATTAATTATGTATATTTGTAATAAATCAGATTTTTCTAAAAATCTAGACTGCCATTGTTAACCATGAGTACATTGAATGGACTAAATCATGTAGTACGTTACATTTATCAACACCTATAATATATGTCTTAAAACTAATTTTCTCTGGGGTTCAAAATGGTCTAGCAACATAATTGAAAAATCTGTCCTTTCCCACCTTTATTCTTCTCTCTGTTTCGGTTTTATAGAGTCTGTCATACCCAGCAGTGGTACTTTCCATGTTAAACTGCCCAAGAAAAGAGGTGTGGAGCTTGGAATTACTATCAGCTGTAAGTATTGCTTAGACTATAGCTACAACAGCTGGCAGTAGCAGCAGCCACTGGCTTCCAATCTAGTTTGCTAGAGGAACACAATAAAGACAGAAATTATTTGGTTTTGATAGCGCCCACAGTGTGCTAGAAATCAATGGGGCTTAAGCACATGTTTAAAGATAAGTATATGCTTTGCTGAATCAAGGCCTGGGTCATATGTGTGTGGTTTATATATATATATGTGTGTGTATATATGTATATATGTGTGTGTGTGTGTGTGTGTGTGTGTGTTCAGAGAGAGAGAGAGGCACCCCAATTTACTGCCTACTCTTTAAACTGCCAGCCAGAAAATACAATGACAACTAAGAAATGGCAGTTGGATTCACAATTTTATCTTTGTCAGTCTCTGAGAGTTTTAGATCATTTTCCTCTCTATCCACCGTGCACCAGATGAACACAACCATTGCAAACCTTTAGGTATAGAGAAGAGGCACATGCTGGATATAAGCAGCAAGTGAGAAAAGCAAAACAAAACCCTGTCTTGTTCAGTTTCCATCACTGCTGTAGATTCAAATGCCAAATAAGATTTAGAAATTACCTGTGACGCCTTTCTCCTTTCAGGGAGGAAAGCATATCTAGTGCTGAGAGCTGAGAACTGGACATCTAGGCTCCCGATTTTTTTATTCACATTTCTTACACTGACCCACTCTATGAATTTGGGACAAGACATTTGGGCAAGAATTTGGATATAGATTTTAAGGCCATCTGGGACCAATGTGATAATCTAATCTGACCATCTGCATAGCACACAAGCCATAGAATTTCACCCAGTAATTCTTGTGTGTTGTATAATAACATCTAAGTAGAGCTAGTCTGATGGACTAAATAGGTGGAGGAGGAGAGAAAGTAATTGTCTACACAGGAACGCTCAGGAAAACGAATCTGAATTCACTACAATTGTACATTGAAGTTCCTAGGTGTTGAACACTTTTGTATTTCAGGTCTTTTGTTTACAGGCCTAAACATGAGTCTAATTCTAGACTCCTCTCTGAAAATCTTGGCTTGTTGTTAAAGGAAAAAATTAAAAATGATACTTTTCATTATTTGTTCTGGCAGCTCATTACTTATATTTCAGTCAGGTGAGGCACCCAGAGCGGCAGCACAAGGGAGTGTGCACTTGTTTTAAAACTGGTTTTATGGACGCCAGACAGAATACTTTATTTCTCCCTGGTTCAGAGCAACATGTGGGTTGTGAGGCTTAATTGTTTGCAAAGGACTGGGAGGTACTCCAGGTGGTACAGTTGAAAGTAAGTGCAATGTGTGATTGTAGACCCAACAATGTAGAGAACAGGCTCATAATGACCGGTCTACTCATCTAGACTGCTGAATGTGCGCCATGAAGCGCTCTCCTCTATTTCTGGGTGCATTCTGTTCAAATCACACAACTTTCTTCTAAATCTTCTACAGATTAAAATCTATGGCAGTAAGAACTAGTAATGGTTCTTCAAGTGATGGTCCCTATATGTATTCCAAATGCGGGTGCGCATGCAAACTAGTAGTTGCATTTTATTGTGTAGTCAGTATCTGATCTCCTTCAAATAAGTCATATGATTGTTTTTTAGCCTCAGGAAAATGCTGGTTGATTAGAAGAAGGAATTTTTTTACCTATATAAAATGTTTTCCCCCAATGGCTAGTTGAGTCTTACTGCAGGGTGCATTTTTGTTGTTGCTGTTAAATAAGCATTTAAACTGTCCTCTTTCTTAACAGTACAGTAACACTTTATATAGCACGTAAGGTCATTTGAAAATGAAATAACGAATCTATCACAGTGCCCCTGGCAAGGTGCCATAGGTAAATCTCTGTATTATTCCGTTTGCAGATGATGGAGGCAGAATTTTGAGATGAAGATTAAGTGACTTGATCAAGGTTACTATGGGAGTCACTGTCCTAACCAGGATTAGAACTCATCCATGTGCTCAGATAACACCTCTCTCTCACGTACTGGGACCACTTTGGGGGGTCTAGGGACGGGCCCGTGGCCTACGCCAGCCTGCAATTTACAGGGGTCTTTTCGGTTAATATTGCAGTTTCAGCTAATAGGTGGAACTGTTCCACTTCAGCACTTTTACAGAAACAGAATATTCTACCTTGGCCCGGTATCTATAAAGATTTTGAAAATAAATAGATACATGGTAGCGTAAATATCCTGCTGGAAGCAATTCTAATTATGAACCTGTCGTTAAAGTTAATGGATGATACAGGAAAAAGCTAGTAGTGGGAATTGTATTTTGACTACTTTATTGTAGTTGATTCAGATTCACTTTTTTTTTTCCCTGTCCCTTTTTTTTCCCCTGCTCCCTGCCCTCCCTCCCTCCCCCCCCCCCCCCCGCTCCCCATTATACATGTTTATTCTTAAATGCAGCTTTATGACATTAGTGCCATTTCTTTAATTACACATTGGCAAAATGCTGCTTTGTCTCAATCAATAACAAAAGGTGTTTATAACTGTTGGAAGCACTGGTGCGTGTGAGTTATGTGCTCAGACTCCTTGGAGGGGAATAATTTACCAATACGAATCATTATGCATCCTATTAAAAACACCAAGTGGACGTGTTTTGAGCCTCTTCATCCATCATATCGTAAACACTGAGATCACCAGAATCCCAGCAGACGTGGCAGGGGACTGAAAGCAGTTTATAAAAAATAAATGAGGGGCCTGCATTGATGGCAGTCTTTGTATTTTAGGTATTTAGCTGACCCCCATCTCTGTAGTATTTCACATTTTATTATTATTTTGGGGTATTTATCCTCTCAACACCCCTGTGAAGTAGGATGTGCTATTATCCCCATTTTACAGATGAGGAACTTGGAGCGTACAGTGGCACTGGTGTGCTTTAGTGAAGACGCTACTACGCTGATGGAAGAGCTTCTCCTGTCATCATAGTTAATCCATCTCCCTGAAAGGTGACAGCTATGTGGACAGGAGAAGCTCTGACACAGTGCTGACTATGCAGGGGTTTAGGCTGGTATAACTACGTTGTTCAGGGGGTGTGGATTTGTCACACCCCTGAGCGACATATCTATACCGATATAGGACTGTAATGTAGACCTGGCCTGAGGCACAGAGGGATTAAGGCCTTGTCTACACTAGAAAGCTTTACTGCTTTAATTACGCTAGTATAGTGGTACAACCTCCCTATTGTGGATGTAGTTGTACTGATGTAAGGATGACTTAGACGGGAATAGCTATTCCCATATAGGATGGGGCATAACTGTACTGGTATAAGTCACCTTTATATCTATATAATTGCACCCACCTTAGGGCTTTTACCAGTATAACTATTTCATTTAAAAAAAAATCACACTCCTGACTGAAATAATTGGTTAAACTTTCAAGTGTAGACCAGGCCTAAGTGACTTGCCGAAGATCACGCAGGAAGTCCATGGCTGAGGATGGAATTGAGCCTGGGTCTCCTGCGGGCATGTCTACATTACACCTGCTACAGCGGCACCGCTACCGTGCTGCAGTTGTGCCACTGTAACACCGTAGTGTAGATGATTCCTACATTGACAGAAGGGGGTTTTCCATTGATGTAGGAAATCCATCTCTCCAAGAGGCAGAAAAATTCTTCCATTGACCTAACCATGTCTCAACCGAGGCTTTGGTCTACCTAACTACATTGTGCAGGGCACACAATTTTTCACAGCCCTGAGCAATGTGGCTAGGGTCTATCTAATTTTTTAATGTAGACCAGGCCTGAATCCCAGCCTAACCTCCTAGCCACTCGGCCACCTTTTGCTCTCTCAACTGACTTGGTGAAATCAATATAATTTTCTTGCACAGACAAGGCATCAGTTATATAAAAGACCCCTCACGCCACTTTGGCAGTTTAAAGGGGTTTGAAAGTGAATGTGAAGTGACATATAAAGGGACTTAATGTAACTGAGAATCGGGCAAATCTGTATTCAAGGTTTGGAGGTAAGGAGCCCAGCTCTTCAATGGACTGCAGTGAATGGGAAGGGCGTTGAAGACTTAATTTAGTTAATGAGAGCTATTCTGTGTTAATTGACTACAAAGTGACTGTTAAACACCTTGAGGGTTTGCTCTGATATAATAGGCTTGTATCTCTTGCCATCATTGGGGTGAAGTGATTATGGCATATTAGATTATATTTAACAAACCTTTCATTTCTATAGCTGTTGCATCTTCTTTAGAATTAATAAGGTTGGTTTTTGTACAGATTGCCAATTATGTGCCGAACTGATTATTTATTTAAAATGAATTGGAAGGCCTACCAGTTTAAGATTTAATTTGGTTCCTCTTTAATTATCATTATGTAAAATAACGTACAAGACTTGTTTGGTTACATCTAAATTAAAGATCAGTACGCGTATTTGAAAAATGTAATTTAAACTGTTAGTGCAGATCAATTCCCTTTTAGAAAACAATACATTTCAGTAGGAGGCTAGACTATCCTGTTGTGCTGCATACTCTATTCTGGGAGTGGGAAGTGTCTTGCTTCACTCAACAGTGACACCTATTGTTGAGTAAGAGAATGATCTAGTCCGGGCTTCTCTTTGAAGGACAGCAGCTATGACAAAATGTTGCATCATAAGGCAGGGGGTGGGGGCCAAAGGGGAGATGCTGAAGGCTCCACGTATGGGCTTCTATAGGGATTTGTGAATGCAGCTGGCAAATGCTTGATACCACCAGATAGCTATGCGGTCAATCATATCACAGTATTTTAAAATGTATTTCTAAAGGGAACTGTAACTGATTAAGCTAACCCTCATTTTAGTTGGCTGTACATTGATCAAGACTATGCGTCCTCTCCCTCATCCCATCTTTGGTCACATGACATTGCTTCTATTCCCTCTTCATTACCATTCCTTATGATTACATGCAGCGGACACAATGTGAGGGGCGAAATTGGCTTTATTAAAACCAAGAGGATTATAAAAACAAGGATATTTATGTAGACATTGTAACAGAAGGGAAAGCACATGTATGCCCAGGAAAACACCACAAAAGAAATGTATTCACCCCAAACTCCTAGTCATTTATTTCTTTTGTTTTGTAGTAGCAGCTAGGCGCCTGAGTCCTGCCCCAGAATCCCATTGTGCTAGGTGCTGTACAAACACAACAAAAGATGATCCCTGCCTCAAAGAGATTGCAGTCTAAGTATCAGACAAGAGATAACAGATGGTATAGATGGAAGCAATGAGACAATATGAGTCCGCGTGACAGGCAGAGGTCTCCGCGTGACAGTCGCCTAGCCATTGGCAAGGTTGTTTTTGTTTTGGGGGTTTTTGTAGGCATTATGACAGAGGAGAGCGTTAAGGAAGGATTTGAAGGAGAACAATGAGGTGGCTTTGTGGAAGCTTACTGGGGGCTTCTCCCAAGCTTGTGGGGCAGCATGGATCTGAGCCTCTTTGTCAACAGAATCTCCCAAAGACTAGGAACACCCAGGACATGTTCCCAGGTGTCTGTTCACACAATGGGGCACTTCCGGTGTTACCCCCACTCCCTTAAACTCTTAGGTTGCCATTGGACGCAGAGGTTAGGCTTGAGGTTCCAAACTCTCTTGAGCCCTGTCTGTGCTCAAAAAAACATTTCTGATGGGAAACCTACTTACAGCACACTTGTCTCCATTCGTTCCCCCCGTCCCCGATGGTCAATAGAAATGGTGTTTTAGGAGGCTGATTTGAGGATCCTGTTAAAACACCATTAGATCCAGTCGGCATAACAAGATGGAACCAAGTTTAACAATAGTGAAGTACAGCCACGTGGTAATTTGATCCCTTTCGTGGTTGGGTTTATAATGGACCTGGGTCATCATGCTAGTCAAGATACTAGCTCGTTTTTTTCCTTCTTGACTCTTTTTCTATCACTCAGTGAATTGGAGCAACCAAACCTCCTCTTGGTTTAGCTTCCGGCTCTAAATGGAACTTGAGAGCACTCAGTCTGCAGGTAACAGATGCATGGAATGTGCATCGGTGCGTTGTCAAAGAAGCTGTGAGGACAGCTCTTTCAGGTTCTATAGCACTGGGCAGAAGCACTCCTACAGCACAGTATGCTCTATTGTGTTTAGTTCTCTGCTGTGCTTGAGCATGGATTGGTGACATTTTACACTATTAAATACAGCCGACTGTGCAGTCAGGCAGAGTATATCCTTAACGGTGACCTGCAAAGCTTTTTTTCTAACAAGCTTCATATTCGCATATATGTTTTTTAAAACCCACTAATCAATTATGACCATAATTAAAAAAAAGACCAACAACTTTTCCTGTCAGTGGATTCCTCTGGAATTTCCTTTTTGGCTGCTGTTTTTTCGCAGCCGCTCATGTAAATTCCTTCTCTGTGATATAGTGACATCACAAATCCTGAACATGTTCATCCTGGCTGTAAGCTGAGATGCTCATAGGCTTTGAGCTTTCTTTGCTCTCCGCCGTCTTCCCCCCGCCTCCTGTGTTGAGAGACAATAGCATCTGTAACCAAGGCAATGTAGCAATGTGTAAGTGCAGAGAGTGTGAAAGAGAGAGAGAGGAGAATGCTATTTGCATATGTTTTTTGGCATGTGACTAGCAGTGAGGTCAGCAGGGGGCAGATCTCTTACCTGGCTTTTTCTGAGTTGGGAAGGGAGCCCACAGCCACTATCTTTAATGTAGGTTTCAGAGTAGCAGCCGTGTTAGTCTCTAAGGTGCCACAAGTACTCCTGTTCTTCTTTTATCTTTAATGTAAGCAATCATGAAAATGCAGGTTTTGACTAAAGTAAAGCAGACGTGGCTCTTTGTGGATCACAAGTCTCATGAGCTGAAATGATCAAACTTGAAAAAGCTTTGCAGATCACCTTTTATAAAGAAGTTGGGAGATCGGTCAGGTCATGGTAGGCAGTGTGCTCCCATCTTGTTTCATTTAAAGGTCGGCATTTTTGGAGTTCAGCTGTTTAGAACCCCTGTGGAAGAGAGATTGATTCATGGTCGTCACTGCTCTTGTCCCATACAGATCATTGGCCAAATCCTCCACGGAGTCACACCAGTGGGGTTAAATCTGCATCAAGCTCCTGTAACATAGTGACAAATTAGGCCTGGGCTCAGGCTAGTGCCAGAAACATTGAACTCTGAAACTACAAGTTACAGGACACTCTGTACTGGAGGGATTCAGCTCAATGGACATGTTTGTTAAGAAGGGCCACATTTTGGTGATTTAGAATTCAGGGAAGTGGGTCACATCCAATTTCTTATAGACAATATAGGGGGAGAATGACTATTTAACACTTGCATGACTGCCAGCTACTAACAGATCAAGCAGATTTCCAGGCTGACCAGTCCAAATAATAATAATGTACCAAGAGATATTCAGGAAACAACTGCTACCTCTCTTCTAGCTGCCTCATTGTTACCTTCCTGTGAGGCTCACTTTGGGTGGCCATTACACATTTTGGAAGGTGTGGACATCCGTGTTAGACCTGGGCAGATGGAGCTACACAGAGATCAGAAGCTCTTGCTTTGAATCACTTGATTCCACAGTTTCATCAACTTGTTCTGTAAGAGGCTAAAAGGAACCAGCTGGCTAATTTAGACAGGATGCAAAAATTGCTTGGGCCCAACCCTTATTGTTGCAGGTCTGACTTTTATAAATTCCAAGTGTGAAGCTGCACTTGGGTCAAATGAATGTAAATTTCCCCTCCCTGTAACTCCTTTTTCTCCCCTTGGCTGTCACTCTGGTAGATTCCAGAGCCTGAAGCGTGTTTTATATGCATGCATCTCTTTTGCAGCTGCAAGTAGAAAGCCTGGTGAGCCTTTAATTATCTCTGATATCAAGAAGGGGAGCGTAGCTCACAGGTGAGTGCAGCAGTTTACTGTATGACAATATGCAATGCAGTAATTCAGTGCAGAGAGGCCCAAGTCGTAGTGTTTGGTTCTGGAATACATCATAGTTCAAGGGGACGTCGGTTACAGAGGTTTGGTTCAGTCCATTGTAGAGTTTGGGGTTCAAATTCTCTGCTGGGATAACTCCACTGCAGTCAAAGGAATTAAGCCAACAAAGAAGATCGCTCTGGATCTGGAGACAAAGCTGCTCAGTTGGCCCCTCTGTACGTGGATGTTTACCTCCCTTCTCTCTATTTAAGGGCAACACATTCAGTAAAGGTGGCTCGTCCGACACAATGCATGAAGCGTCATGCCTGGTCAGTCACTCTGTCCCAGTGTGCAAGTGTCTCCTGCACAGGTGAACAGAGTGCAGTGTTCCCTTCCGTAGAGTAAGTGGTTTTATGAGGACATTGACAGAGTTTTATATATGAATCTGGGAGTGGCCTATTTCTTGAAGACCAGCTGGTTCCAAACTCCTTCCCAACTTGCTCTGGAAGTGCTCTTGTTGGAGAAGTTTTCATTGTGGATTATTTGGTCTTTGCAAAACCGTGCAGGGTTCAGTTCTCGAAGGGGTTTTAATGCTGAGTTTTGCTGCAGCTTCAATGGAGCACAAATGAAATAAATCTGAGCCTCTCAAATAGGACTCTTCCCACTCCTCCACACATCCAATCACTGTTCACCATCCGCCGTCCAATGAACCCGGGGGTCTTACTCCTTACCTTGGATGTCTTATGGGGGGAAACAGAGGAGGCCACTAAGGTATAGGGATAGCTGTTGTGGAGCGAGAGAAGCAATGGTGCATCTCAACTGGTGTGTAACCTGAACCTTATTAGCTAAGCCTTTATGAACCTGGGCCTGAACTCATCTAAACCAAGGCTACCAAAAGGACGAGTGCTCTTGGACATGCAGCTTCTGAGATCATTTTAAAGAGAACTGCTTCTGGAAAAGCATTTAACATCAGGCCCCTACACTGTGCCTCAAATTGGGCACAAGTGGTCTGTTCCAAGCAGGTATGGGGTCGAATGTGAATATTTTTACACAGCTCTAAATTGACCCAGGTATTGCACCCACACTCTATTTCCCCCGATGGGCGTTTTTAGGTGGTCTTGGAGGATAAAGGCAGTATTGTTGCCTTAATCCCTAAAATGAACGAATGGTCAGAAGATCCGAAAGGTTAACAGAAATTACCATTTTTTGTTCTTTTCCACACAGAACAGGCACCTTGGAGCCGGGGGATAAGCTGCTAGCCATCGATAACATCCGACTCGACAACTGCTCAATGGAGGATGCAGTGCAGATTCTGAGGCAGTGCGAAGACCTAGTCAAATTGAAGATTAGGAAGGATGAAGATAACTCTGGTATAGAAATCCTGATGCAAAGCACTGTCTGACCATATTAATGACCTTTGTTTTTTCGCATTATGTCTGGGCAAATATGAGGCTGGCAGTCAGTCTGCTGACCACTTTCCAGTTGATTATAGAGCATCTTTTTCCCCCCCCTTCTTCTTTTAAATATGGCATGGAAGGCTGAAATCCTATTCATCCTGTGCACAGCAGGAGACCTCAGGGTTTCACCTCTACATGTTCTGAGCTTTCCTCGTGGCTTATTTATTTTTAAAATACTTTCCAGCATCCCTGTTTCCCATTTCAGATGAGCAGGAGACGACCGGTGCTATTATTTACACAGTAGAGCTAAAGAGGTACGGCGGACCTCTGGGAATAACAATCTCTGGAACAGAGGAACCTTTTGATCCGATCGTCATTTCAGGCCTGACCAAACGAGGGCTGGCTGAAAGGTGAGCTGCAAAGCAAAGACAACCCTCCCCTGCTGATAGTGGGGGGCACACAACCCTGGAATAGTGGAGTCATGCCCTTCCAGACAGCCCCCCCCCCTTCCTGGAAAGCAGCAGCCCCTCCCTGTAGCTCCCAGCTGTTCCTCCTGTCTCTCCCAGCACAGTTAAAGCAGTTGCCTCTCCTTGCCCCTTACTGCTCGGCTGCCCCGCAGGGAGGGGGCCTGGCCACACCACGTGACTGAGCAATCTTGAGGGGCATGTGGCCCCGCATGTCCCTCCCTATACGCGCACGTTGCCTCTGGTGCAAAGGAACCCCAGCAGGGTGGAGGTTTATGGTGAAACTGGAGGAGGTCGTGATGTATTGCAAAATTTAGAAAGGAGCAATAGAAGGGATGTTTCTTTGGTCTAATGTGCTCTGAATGAGTGTCTAGTCCATGGGGTCCCGAGGCCTACCTTTGCAGAGGAAAGGTGCTATAGAGGTGCAAAGTATTATCATACCTCCCTACATGTAGTGCTCTCCACTCATGCCTCTGAGGTCCCTACGCAGTTTGCACCTGGCAACCAGCAGGAGCACCATCCCTGAAATCCCATCTATGGTTCCATTTTAGTTCTACCTCCCCTTGTATTGGGAGACTACCCTGTCAGCTCGGGCTACCACCGCCTCGTCTAATCTGGGGAGACGTTTCTGGAGATTCTGCCTAAACACACGTGAGTGTGGTAGCAGCACTCCCTGCTGCTAGTACCACCTGCTGAAGCTACAAATCCCAGAAGCCTTTACCACTGTCCCTGCTAGATTTCCATTATTTTGGTTCAAATGCTGGATCCAAATGTGAATGGGTCTGCTCATTTTGTTGCCGTTTAGGTCTAGATTTGGACAGTAGGTACACTCTGTAACAAGGTAAATACGGCTGCTATTATGGTTCTAACAACCAATAAGATGGAGGGAATGGGGGACGACCTAAATAATTGGGGGGGGAGGGGTTTGGAGGCTGCTCAGAATATAAACTGTTCCTTCTGTAAATTTAAGATGGAGTTGAATCACACTTTGTATCTTAATTAATTTCTTCTTCTTATGTTGGAGCGTATGTAAGTATAGGTATTCCGCACCCCACCTGCTTGTTGACTACTTTCTGTAGGATTGCAGCGCCCCCTACTGCACGAAGGGTAGAGCTGCAGCAAGCATCAAAACATGAGTCTCTTAAAGCTCCCAAGTTAGGGAGGGTGCGCAGGTGCTAGGGGCTGGCATAAATCAAAACCCCGTACCCTAGAACTGAACTTTGTTCATCTTTCTTTCTGTGGTGAATTTTCTCCTGCAGCTGAGTTTTTTAGAGGAATTCTGTACATAAATTCTCTGCTTACCTCGGACATTCATTTTCACTTGGCAGGTACCAGCTAAATGTTTCCAACGATGTGCTTCATTTTGTACAGAAGGCAAATCAATTCTGTGCTCTGGGAAAGAAGGAGAGAGAGAGAGAGACGTGGAATTAAATTGCTATATCCAAAGGCTTTATCTACCTCTTGATTTAATTTGTTTTATTTATTTTTGGATTTTATGCTGCAGCCCATCATAGTAGCTATGTGTCTTCCATGTAAAATGAATATCAGTAGCAAAGTCCTCAGTGGACTTGATGGACTGGCATTTTTCTCCTTTTTCAGGCTAAAAACTCTGCATTGTTTTTGGAAGCCGGACCATTCTGCACAGCATAAAGTAGCGTTGGTATGAGAAGCTGGAATACTGTTGGGATCAGCACACAGTAGTCTTATACCCATAATGCTTTCTCTTCCCTTATACAGCATTCCTGGCTGTTCCCCTCTTTCCTCAGAGATGTGCACAGCTGATTGGTAAAGAACTGTATGTCACACAGGGCAGGCAAGTGCTGCAGTGATATTGAATTCTGATTGGTACTGGCACAAAGCAAGAAATAAAAACCTTCGAGAAGAGCGATGGAGTCGTTTAGTGTGTGTACTTTAGCAATCTAACAAAGACATGCCTGTCCACAGCAGCAGCATAGATATAAAATAGAAAAGTCACAACAGGAACTTCTCTATGTAACCTTGGCTTCCTTTAGGGAATGATTTGGATGAAGGCTGCCAGGGGGGTAGATTCATAGATTCTAGGACTGGAAGGGACCTCGATAGGTCATTGAGTCCAGTCCCCTGCCCGCATGGCAGGACCAAATACTGTCTAGACCATCCCTGATAGACATTTATCTAACCTACACTTAAATATCTCCAGAGATGGAGATTCCACAACCTCCCTAGGCAGTTTATTCCAGTGTTTAACCACCCTGACAGTTAGGAACTTTTTCCTAATGTCCAACCTAAACCTCCCTTGCTGCAGTTGAAGCCCATTGCTTCTGGTTCTATCCTTAGAGGCTAAGGTGAACAAGTTTTCTCCCTCCTCCTTATGACACCCTTTTTAGATACCTGAAAACTGCTATCATGTCCCCTCTGTCTTCTCTTTTCCAAACTAAACAAACCCAATTCTTTCAGCCTTCCTTCATAGGTCATGCTCTCAAGACCTTTAATCATTCTTGTTGCTATTCTCTGGAGCCTCTCCAATTTCTCCACATCTTTCTTGAAATGCAGTGCCCAGAACTGGACACAATACTCCAGCTGAGGCCTAACCAGAGCAGAGTAGAGCGGAAGAATGACTTCTT